ATAATTAAGCGTCTTGAACACTTCCTTGAGAATTAAATTGTGAGATTTATGATACTATATATTTCTACCTAATGGCTAATAATGATGAACAGTTGACTAAGACTTATCGATCCACCGACTACTTCCAAGCTTCATTAAACCTCGTGCAATTTAATTAGCATTTTAAAATATTATTCGAGATGTTGCGTTGTTATGGCATGCGGCATGCACGATGTTACTCCAAATGAAGCTGGGTTGCTTTATTAGTGTAGTTATCGACACACATAGTACATATAGGTATCTCAGACTATCCTCTAAAATCGCCATATCAAAGCCATGAACCAATACAAAATATATCTGAATGTGTATATAAGAGTAACATGCAGAGTGTAACAGCAGGATGAAGACCTGACAGATGAAAAAGCTTTTGTTCTAATCAATATTTTTAAATTTTACTTTTATATTTAATTTATAGTCACTTGCGCTACAAGTATAATATAAAAAACAATTTTATTTTTTAATACTGAAAATAAATAATTTCAAATTTGTTTCAAATTTTTTTGGTAAAACATTTATATAAGTCAAATAGCTTATTCTTTAAACATTTTTAAAATATCAATATTTTTATGAGTGTAGGTTATAGTAATAACTATTTTAAAAATATTATTTTTGGGAATTTCTTGACATGAGTATATTTCTTAAATTATTTATTATTCATATAATTTTCACAATTGTTGTCAAACGTTTAAGTAGCATCTTTATTTTTTTTTTCAAGTCTTCCTGTTACACTCTGTATACCTATTATAATTTATATTATATATATTATTTATCTACGTGCTAAAACCACATTTATTCGGCTCCTTTATTGGTTTTCAATGTCCGACGCGGTAAATGACAAAAACAGGATTTCCAGACGAGTACCAAGATATAAAATATATTATAAGACGATTATATTGAAACTCAACTCAGCAAACAAGCACAGAAATGGCGAAATGGCGTCGCGGAAATGTTTAAGAATATATTAGCACTTTTTTACAATACCATTATTATAATGTATATAGATTGTACATACACATAATAGTTTGTTCAGCAAATAATCATACTTAAATTTATTACTAGAATGACCGAATGACGTATGACCAAGACATATTATATACTAATATTATTATACTATATTGGCTCAGAAAAAGGTTCTGAATGTTGAAATACATACAAAAATAATTTAAATTCAGCTTTAGGGAATCCGTAACGAACACTTTACCTTAATAATATAGAAAACGGCGTTTGACACCTTACAACCACAAAATGTCAGGAAAATGTCCAAGTTTAATGAGGGAATGCGCAAATTATAAATTTAATTATTCTCGTGTCAATCCAAACGAAAACATTAGCATGGTGGAACTAAAAACAATGTTCATGCAATATGCGATAAGTAAAACAAGCGGTAGAAAATGAATAAGAATTCAAAAATGATAAATATATAATAATTTCTTTGCATTACAAGAATAACACGAATGCTGTAAAGGATAAAAAGAAATTCATTAAACTTTTAAATACCCTTACAATAGCTATGTTAGAATTGTATTTGTGTTGTGTTTATTTTTTTATAGCTCATCAAAATATAGAGTTTCGAATAACTCAATATTGAAACAGCATTTTTCGTACCAAAGAGTATATTTACGCATATTAACCATACAAGTCGTTATTGTTAAATAATGTATTTTAACGTCATATCAATATCGTATTATACGGTGATAAACATTGAATCAATTATTGTAATTATTCACAGATGAAAAACAATATAGTATTATTTTATAAAATCTCTTGCAGGGCATTTAAAAGAAAATGTATCAAAAAGTTATTCAGTGCAGTAAGCGAGTAAACCTACCTACCCATATTATGTTAAAAAATAAAATTAAGAATATCATTTAATTATCATTTTCTAGGTGTATATAATATATACTGTATCGTATAGGCCGGTATCTAACAATTGAGGGGTTGCGAACTACCGGGTCTGGGTAAACTGGTTTTTTTCGTATAAATAATGGCTTTATTGTTTTTAATGACTTTATTTAGAACAAAACCGGAATGGCGGCGGCGCCGTACATTTTACCTATAATAATATGTAGGTACGTTACTAACGAGTATGGACTATGGAGGGAAATATTATAATATAGTTCGTGCTTTTTGAAAACATCACAAACTCACGTGTTCATGTACTTAACATATTCGTAAATTAGCGTGCGCTTATTGTGATTATTATTATTTCCACTCGGCGGCGCCCGGAGAACGTAAGAAATTTGGGGTTGGCCGCCGCCGTACTGGCGGACCATATAATTACCAACCGTTAAACCAAAACGACACAATTATTATAATTACAATATAAACAATACCTTCAACCAAACCGGCAAAAATGGATATATCCTATTAATTACTATTAGTGATATTGTGTGTGTGTACCTATACATGTATATATTACCAATACAATCGTAACTATACACATATCTATATACAAATTCGAAATTTCTAATATATTCATTGACACCGTGCCGTCAAATAATAATAATATTATATACGAACGATTTTAACAACTCCTTGTCCGAATCAAACTAAATGCCCACACACAATATCATATGTCTTATGCCGAAAATTAATTCAAAATTAAACACGCGATGAAACAATGTATGTCTGTTATATTACAAGTCACACGACGTGGATAATATGTTTAATACGATAGGCGCGTAACTATATATATATATTATTATTATTATTATTATTATTATTATGATATTATATACGTTCCACCGAATTACGACTAAGTACACAGTCGATCCCATAACTATTATATTATGCATTATTTTAAATTCGCTTTTCGTAGACTGGAAACTAGTTTGAGCTTCGATTTTGCCGGCGGGTATAGTATAGGTACCTATATAAAGTGTCCATGGTTCAGCATTGTTTCGGCATTGTCTTATTTCAGCGATGCAACCGCCGAGATAGAGGGTTAAAACATTTTCGTATTCTCAGACAATTGAGATATTATGTATAAGGAAAAGGTGACCTAGCACATTATATCGATATAACGCATTAACTACTATAGTACTATAGCGCCGTATACAGATTCTACACATTGCTAAGATATAAGGTTTAATAAATATATGTTTCGTATGATATCGATTGCTCTACGATGTTTTAGTAAGACCTAAGGATAATATATACGTATATAATATTATATAGGTAGTGTGTACATAATAATAATAATTATATGTATATACCTTTAGGAAAGCGTTGGACAACTTTACATTCTTGAAATTCCTTTTTAACTCAGGATGCAGTATGAACTATGAACATATTAATATTCTATACCTCGTTTGAGATCGAAATTTTGAACCATTAAAATAACTTTCATAAGCCATAATGCTATATCATTGGTTGAACACAATATTCAAATTATTTAGGGATTATTAAATAATTGTATTTATTGAGCGTATAGTTAGGTATACCTAAAATGATTGTAATTTTTCAAAATAAGCTATTTCTTTTATAAAATAAAAATGAACCAGTTAAAGTAAATATAATATAGTTTTACAATAACCAATATATTATAAATTCAAACCACTTAGTTAACGTAATTTTTTTAAATCGACACGATTTTAATCAAAATCTTATTATTTCAAGTAGATAAAAAATTTAGCGATAGATTGTAACTAGATATTTTATTACTTTAAAACGAAAGTTTAACAGTTATTACTGCCAACAGCGTTAAAAATCTAAAATGAGATGAAATTAAAGTAAGGCAGTTTGATTTTTAGCCAATAAACCTTATAATAATAATCATAATTTATAAAAGAAACTATATAACAGATTGTGGATTAGATACGCAACATATAGTCATCGTAACAAATAAGAAAAAAATATAAACTAAAACTAGATTTCAGAGTGACTATATATTAAACACAATACACTGACATTATAATATCGCCAGTTGGTCGAAAAATAATGGTCAGGTAATCTATAATATATGAATATAAACATGAAGCATGAACTCTCGAATGATATGACATTTTCAAAACGCTAGCGAGGTTTGAAATATCACACACATGCGCGTCCCAGAAAACGGCGGTGAAAATGTCAAATTACTTAACGAAAATATTATATATTTTAAGACGGTATTATAATGGACGGATGTGCAAGGAAAAAAAGCCAACAGTCATGATATACTGCACGCGGAAATCTAAGTGTCGATTACCCCTAAGGGTATAACGTACGTATATAATATATAATATACGGAAGCTGCGGCGAACGGATACGATGAAAATCCATTACTTACGATCGAACACGCGGTACAAAACCATATTCGATTCGAGATGATGGTAAGCGATAGTTTTCAACAGCAAAAACCCTTGCACACGTCTCCCGAAATGTCGAATTTTACAGCCAACGGGTACATAGCCTATTATTTTTATACTTCGTTTTGGACAGAGCCAATAATCGCGTTTAATTATACTCTCGTCTGGCAAACGTTTTAATCAAAAGATATCTCGGAAGTTGACGACCAAACCAACTACGGTCAATAATTCTTCAGATGAACTGCCCTGACCATTATATACGCATACCTTATAGTAGGTATATACTTAATGCATGTCAATCGTGGTTTAAGGTACCTGTTTAAGGCAATTTGTCTTATCGATTTATTTTCTAAAAAAAATTGAAACGATATCATTCCGAGTGAACCTTTTAGGGAAGGGATGGCGCTTAAAAAAATGTACCTATGCCCGGAATCTTGTCTCGTACCGACTCTTATAGTCGATAGTAAGTATTAATATAGTATGTAGGTGGTAAGTATAAAATATAATCTGCACTCTTGCGAATTGAGTATTACGTGTCGTAATCGCGCCGTTGCCGTGCGAAGTTATCGTCACGATTCCCGCGAGCATATTATATAACATAATTAATAGGTACCCATATTATAATATACCTATTATATCAGATACGCGAATATTATAATCGTCGGTTATTACCTTAGAACGAGTGTCCCGGTGGGATCGTTCTGGGCCTCCTAGTGCGTCCGACGATGATGGTTACGACTGCGCTACCGAGCTGGTTCCGCTGACGGTTCACAAACATTTACACAAACGCACACGCGGCGGCGAAGGATTTATCGGTAGTCTTATGTAATACCTATGTACAGTCTATAATATTATCACAGGAAGAGACTGGCAGGGACCTCCTCTATCCGGACGATATCGCCGAAACAATCGTGGCAGCGGCGTACGGCATTATCGATTGGGATATGTGTTGACGGGGAAGGGCGGTCGCGCGCAAAGTATTAAAAGCTACAACAAAACAACACGACGACGACGACGACTAACACCGGTGCGTGATGACGATGATCGACCGCGAGCTATGACGTTCGGTGCGGATAGCGACGTACTGAGTACTGACTGCGCGAAGTGCGACGGCGGCACCGGGTGCGGTGCGAGAGAGGAGCGCAGCGGTGGCGGCGGCGGTCATGCATCTATATACTACGCGGCGGCGGGACGAACGTGCACGATGACTGCGCGGAGGACCACTCTATACGGATGTATCGGCGGCCGCCCGGGATTAAACCGGTTTCTTCGCGGTGGTCACACGGACTGGTGCGCGGGCTACCTCCCAAGCCGCGGCGTGTTGTAAAGGCGCCTGCGAGACACAACCGCCGCCGCGGTCTCTCGACTCGACCAACACACACACCAACACTATACGCACAACACACACACACAAGCAGGCGTGCGGTGCACACAAGTTCGCATCTTCATCTCTCAGCAGCGATGACCGTCGTCGACACTTTATAATATAATAATGTGACGCGATGGCCGTACTCGCGCACAGTGGCGACAGCGTAGTGGCATGTGTGCAGTGTGCGTCCACTGTAATAAGACTTCGCGTCGTCGCCCCCGGAAAAATCGAAGGGATAGACTTGGCAATTATTTTTCACCCATTGTTATGGTAATAATATAATATATTATACATAGTAACATAGTATGCACTTTATGCAATCACCTCTAAGTTCTAAATAAAAAAAAATACTACAAAATCGCACTCTCCGTCGTTTCTGAAGAACACGCCTTGTTATCTTCGCTGTTCTGTTCTATTATTGTCACGGTAGTCGTAAATTATTATTTTAGTATTTTTATTTTATTAATATTTCATATTAATGGTTTGTTTATTATAGGTGACATGAAATGGGATGCCCCCGTATACCACCGAGATGTAGAAAAAGTACATACCTAACTATATTGAACATTAAAATTAAATATTTACCTATATTAAATTACTTATATCAGTACAAAATTGTTAATATTCCCAGACACTCCCCTCCCCCAATATTACCGTTCGTAGCCGTCTTATACAAGCACATAACATATTGATATTATACAGTTCCTATGTATACATTTTACATTTAGGTATAGGCTTAAAGCAGATGCCAAGGAGATACTATATTTTAATATTCTCATGATAGTTTTGATATTATATTATTATATTGTATCAAATTGAAAGGTAATAGTATCAGAAGTGCAATATGTTCTGGTAAGATTTTTTTTAATATTTTAATGTAAGTTATAACTGTTAAAGGAAAATTTAAAATTATTTTTATATTTTTACAATAGATAAGTCCAAATTTACAATTTATGGTTTTTATTCATTAGATTTACTTAATAGTAATAAAATAGTATACCTACATGGCTATATAATAATAATAACAATTTAGTTTAAAAATGCTTCTAAAGTAGTGATTCGCTTTAAAATGAACTCTAAATAGTATTTAGCTAGTTAAATATTTTGGCTGAACAAACTTACCTACATTTGCTAATCTTATAGGTACCTAGTTATGCGTTATGTAACAGTTATAAGGAGGATTCAAAGTTCGCGGGTAAGTTTTCTTGATTTCTACATCGATATATCTATCTATATACACTTCTTCCTTGATAAAATCGTAAATACACGAATTATCATAATATTTTATATTATATTATATTATATTGTATTATATTCGTATTGTATCTACCTATGCATACAAGGCATATCCTTAATAATTGAGCAATATTTATAATGACATTATATACTATTATTTAGGTACACAAAATAAACTACAAAGCGACATATATTTCTGTACACGACTGTCGTTATTCGCTGGTTCCGGTCGCCGGAAGTATGCTCGCGTGCGTTCCTGCGTGCTGATCTCGCGCGCACAGTATCGTCCCGTAATATACAGCAGTATAATATAATATAGATATTACACGACCGACGCGTATCGCTGTGTGGCCGGCTTCCCGGTTTCGGTGGCGGTGGCCAGCCGTATAGAAATCGTCAGTTCGGCGGTAGGTAGGCAGGCTACAGGTAGGTATATGTTTATATACCAATGCTATGTATGTACACATTATACCTATACGCTGCGAACACGGTCGCCGACGACGACGACAGCAGTAACGATTTTTATGGACAAACATATATATATTATATAATATTATAATGCTGGTCGTCTAGTAAAATCATATTCGTCGTCAAAAGTTTTTCTGGGGGTAGGAATGCGCACGATATAACGACGTGTTCGCGGGATATCGTCGTGCTCCAATGATGGATTTGCATTGCATAATCTGCAGAAATCGCCACTTATTGAGCTCACGGACCCACGGTTTGTGGACTTGTTTTCTTATTGGACTTAAATATTTTAGGCTGATTTCGATTTACACACATATATTAAAACATACGAGAAAAATATTCTATTGAACTCATTACACTGGTTACAATGGGGTCAATGTGTATTTTGAAGGGTATCCACGGTATACATGTCCCTTCAACATAAAATGTTAATAAAGAATTTGAGAACATTTTTTTTACATAATTTTAGATAATTACAAACATTTTTGAAAAAAAAATATTTTTATTTTTATCCACTATTATAATATTGTTGTGTTGTTTTTTTTCTTTATGAATAAAAAAATATATTTAATACATAATAATTACCTAATATCTATTAGTACATCGTACATGGTCGAATTAAATTTTTTTACTATAAAGCATACTATATACTATACCTATGTATAGATATGTATTATAAAATTGTATACACGTATCCTCTTTATTCTTGGAATTTTCAGCTTATTGACTCAAAATAGTCTGGTCCCAAAGTGCATAATTCAATAATTGGTGACTATACTGTACCTATATCTACACAATCTCGCGAACACCAACACGGAATTTGCTGTAAACGACTTTTTGTCATTCTGAATTTTGAAAATTTTTGAAAATATATCCAAACCGCATTGATATAATATTAATATACCTGAATGAATGCGACAATTAAGCGACATTAAATAAAAATCTGTTAACCAACACAATTGCTGCAGATACCAATAATTACCAATATATATCCTCTGCATCTCTTTTCACTCTTATTAAGTGCAGTTAGTTTTTTTATCTCTCAGCTGAAGATTCTGCAGTGCGAGTGAGAACCATCGATTCTATCTCTGTCTATGCGACGTTGGCCAAAAATCGAATGTTTAGTGAAGATAGGAATGTCGTATGGGCATATTTTTAATACGATGATGGTTTAAACACACAATCGCACATCGTTAAAACAGACAAATTACTAGATATAACAATGCTTCATGAGTCTTATAACGTATCTGTCGTAGTGATATCACGTGTGATGCGTGGGTACTTACTGAAGATATAAGTTGGTTTGTGATAATATAATATTATAGTGGTTGTGAGCCGGTTAAGTTCAGTGTGTACGTGTCGTGATTAAGACGGTATATATAAGTTCATTCAGTAGGTAAGTTTGGTTAACCAACACAATTCGTGCGATACAACATATACACCACACACACGTTGTCAAAAGTTTATGGGGTAGAAATGCACGAAAACGACGTCTATAGTTCACGATATCGCCGTCGTGCAGCTGTGATCGATTTGCATTATATATATCGGAAGCGATCGCTCGAACACCACTCCGGACTTTCGAAAATACGATTTTTGTGATTTGGAAAATATGTCCAAACTACATTGATATACTATAACCTATAGATGCGGCATTGTATATATAAATCTGCTGGCCAACACAACTGATAGCAATATAAAACCGCATTGTTAGGACGTCGTAAAAAATGTATCTGGTAGGAATGCTGCACGAAAACGGTGTGTTGTTCGATTTTCATTACACTTTTACGTAACCGCGTAAAGCCCACAGAAATGAGATTTTTGTGATTTTGAAAATATGTCTACACTTGCACAGCGTTAAAACTGACAAATTACTACTGCAACGTTTCGTGCAGCGTCTTATAGAATAATATATAACTATTTAAGTATGAAGTATCTCATGTATCTGTCGTATGGTGAATAGCACATACTTACAGATAGTTGGTCTGTGATGATATTCATATATTATGATAATAATATAGTGGTGGTCGTGAGCTGGTTAACTTCGCGGTGTATGTCGCGATTAAAACAGCGTATAAGATCCTGCAGTAGACGGGTTAACCAACAAACTTGTGCCGAAAATGATTATCATTATATTATGCAAATTGAAAAATGAATTATTTTACTTACCGACCGTATGCCGTTATTACAATTCACTGTGCAATTTATTACAAAAGTAGCACCGCGTGTTTGCCGAATATTTGTATGATTTATAATGGGTTTCCACTGCCGTAATTGTAATGCAATTTATTACACTATTTAGTATATTATCCTATATCAGATTTAGGTAGGTAGGTAGGTAGCTACTTAATAGTAATTTAGTTTTATATTTTTTTTTATAATTTTACAATAATTATTGTTTATCGTGCGTTCGTGGTTCGTGAATTAATAATTAATTGCAATACACGTTTTTTAATATAATATTGTACTTAGTAAGTATACTGAGTATACTGACTATATTTTGTAACTTAGGTACGTTTAAGCTACCCAATTAAAATCATCCTGTTATTGCAATTAAGTTTAATAACAACTGAACGTGAAAACTTTTATTCATAACAAGTGTACATTTTTGTTGGTATACAAATACTTTATGTCGATATGATAAAGCAGTTTTGAGACAAGTGTTAATAATTTATCAGTAAATTTTAATAACTAATAAGTAACATTACTTATATTTATCTTTATATTCCTACATAAAAACCCAATTGTAAATAATATTTTACGTCTTCAGTCGAAACTTGTTTACTGCAAGAAATCAATTTCATTTTACTTTGTTAAAAACAAATATTTGTTTTAACTTTTAATTTAGTAACCAATCCAGTAATACTATCAGCTGCAGCAGCCGGCAGATGATAATCATTACCAGGAGATAATAAAATTATGTTTTTAAATCAAAGTTTATAAGAACCAACTAATATAAACCGTAGTATGTTTTTCTCCTTCAGGTTAAATTTACCGTTTACTATAGAATGTATTTATTGTGGATATATCATTCCTAAATGATAAGGGGCGGTGTAAAAACGTCTTTTATAGCCGGTTTAATTTGGCGTAAAAGAAAAATCGGTGAAGACCAGGGGCGGGTCGCAAACCAACCAGCATTATTTTCTTATTATTATACACCTCGACCACATAAAATACCTTTCTAGAGATCTCTTGCCTTTCACGCCTAATTTATAATTTTCTCAATTTATGAATTCTTGATCTACTTAAAAAACAATAACACATTTTCATAGTTTTTTAAGCGTTATTTAATCCGTACAAACACGGTAGGGCTTAGTTTTGGATATATTTATAACTGATGTATTTCGTGTAAAGTTGAATAATCTAATCTATTTTTCTTAATGTAAGTTTTATTTTTACTATTAACTTAATTTTCTTGAAAATATAATACCATTTTCAGCCAGTATTATTTCCTATTTACTTCCATCGCCTAGTAATAATTCGATGAAATCAAACGATTATTTAAAAAAAATACTTGTGTAAAATATAAGTAATAATAATTAAAAATAAAAGTAACTATTTTAAGAACTTATATCCATTTTAAATTCCAAGCGAAGTGAAATATTACTATTGGTTTTGATAACCAATAAAACTACCAGAAAAATAATTTATTTTACCTACATATTATGATACTTGTCTCACTGTAATTTAAGTAATTTACTGTAATAACTAATAGTTATAAATGTATATTAAATATATCAGTTTTTATTCTTTTTTTTAAATATTAAATTAATAAATAGAACTTGTAGGTAATTATTTAGTACCATTAAGAATAAAAACAATAGTTAAAAATTCTTAAGTAGAAAAATAATTACAATAATAAGTATTAGCACTGTTCCTTTGATACGTTATCATCGTAAATAAATACCTAAAAAAATACTTCTTAAAATAATGATTAAGATTCTTTTAAAAAAAATAGAAATATTTGTTCACTATAATACTAT